GTCAAACTACGAAGGCACCGATGATCGAACGTAACTAGCTGTTTTATGTCCGCTGATCTAATGGACCAATTTTCACAACAGTGAGAGTTGAACGGACGACTGCATTGTAAACTATACCCTTCGGGGAGAGAGTGATGTCGCGCCAGCCCATTTAGCTGGCGAAGGTTAGCAAAAGCACTTCGAGATTTTGCTATACGGTTCGTGATCTCATCTTTGATCGCAAGGCGCTGATACAGCTTCCCAGATAGTTGAACTTTTTAACGACTTCTAGCTGATCCCCACCAAGAGTCAGCGCAGGAGGCGATCCCTGCCAATCTTGGAAAAAAGCTATGCACTTCCATAGTTCAAATCAAAGTCTAAAACGTCTGACAGCCAGCGCTAATATGTTCAGTGCAGCTTGGCACACCTGGGAGCTGTCACAGATGAGACCAATATCGTCTGCATACTCCAAGTCAAGTAGTCTTTCTCCCTTGAATAGCTCCACATCTATTTCATGCGTTGTGAATGCAATCTCCATGGAGCATTTGGTGTACCAGCTATGTCTCGATGTCCACCCGATCTCAGACTATCTCCATCTGATGAGTCCAAACGATGATGAATCCGGTTATGAATTGTCAGAGTGTGGGAGGAGCAACACCAAACCAGCAATCTCCATGACTTCGTCAATAGCGAAGTTGAAGAGGAAAGGTGACAGCGGGCATCCTTGTTTCACATCTCTGGAAATACTGAAGAGCGGCAACAGCTTGCTGTATGCTCTCATTCTGCCCGTGCTACGCGCGTATAGTGCGCGGATAATATTTTAATATTTCTCGGGCACACCTTTTCTGAGTAGACAGTCCCGAACGGCGCATCGATCAACCGAATCGAAGGCACTTTTAATGTCGAAGAACATGACAACATTGGGCCGTCAATATGTGTGACGGTGCTCCAACGATTGACGCAAAGTGAGGACGTGGTCGATGCAGCCACGACCCCAACGAAGCTCGGTCAGTTGGCGGTAGAAGTCGTTTTTTGACCGAATTATCGTTAGGGTTTGTGGGCGCCTAAGCAGCGATGACTAATAGATACCTATTATTCCCACGCGACTTCGAGGCTTTGAACGAGCCAGCCACTCTGACCGCACACATCCGGCTACTGATTGGGATCCAAACAACCAGAACAGCTTCAGCCCCGGGGACTCGGCAGTGCCAAAACCAGCTTGGCCGGTGCTCGAAGCTGCATCGTCACCGGATATGCGGAATGAGAAATTACTGCTAGTGTCACCTGAAAGGGATCGCATAGCGCACACAGAGTTCGAGTCTTGCTGGCGAGTCTTCAATAAGCAGCAGATACCGGTGGAGAGGGTCTCTAAAATTCGGGCAATTGCTACCTGTTGACCGATCTGTAGCAATGTGCGTACATTGAGGCATGCCAATCTGAAGGAGGATCGTGGGCTCCAAATGGAAGACAATCAACTGGGGTGAACCGCTTGGTTGGACATGGGCTTGTCGACAGGACAGGAGTGGCGCTCCGCATTAGTATGCGAGTTGAAATTAGAAGATAAATGCCTAGCAAAGCATGTTGGGGGAGGACCAAAACTCGGGGGGGGGGGGTTGAAAACTGGGGGGATTTAAGTGAAGTTGGAACGGGACGGTAAGAGTGAAAAAGCGTAAGAGGTGGAATAAGAAGACGGGAAGGCTTGAGCAGTAGCATCCAAACCCCTATCCATCATGCCCGATGCAGCATATAGGGCACCGTTGATTATCCTCTGCGGTGGCCAGAGCATCAAGAAAATGTTTGAAGAGAAATTTATAGTATTTCGTGGGCAGGATGCTGTCAGGTTTCTTGGGCCTAGACAGGTGAGCGAATAGCGTTCTCAACCAAAGCCTTTGGTTCAAAACCCTGACCGCAAGGCAGCGGGTTTGACGGTGGGCTACAAGGACTCCGTTTTAAGGAATGTGCCACCCTCATTCCAACTCCTGGCCTGTATGACCAAGAGGCTGAGTTTCTCTGACCGTTGGCCAATCTGGTGTGAGTGGCTGTGAAGGTGCAAAAAACACCACCCAGCATAGCTCGATGGATCACTGAGGCACACAAACCATCGCACCTCGGTAACCTCCAGCCATATTGCGATGGTCCTTCTTGAGAAGCCTTCGGAAGGTTTATATAAGTGTTGATCTGACCTTCTTTTCGGGAATTGATCGCTCTTTTCCTTATGCCGACCACTTGGATCCGCCCTTACGCGTAGTAGTCAAACGTGAGATCCGCCTGTTGAAATTGAGTAAGGCACTAGCAAGAGACAGACCTGCCTTTTTCAGATTTGGGGAACCAACTCTTGTGCATGATTTACACAACTTACTAGTGAAGGTGTTGGAGCAGGAGTCTGTTCTAACAGATGGGAACTGCTCCGTCTTAGCTCCAATCTTCAGGAGAAGCTCACCTTCGGAATGCGGCAATTATTTAGAAATCAGTCTGATCTCAATTGCTTCTAGGTTACTCACGCCTGTCGTTCTCCACAGACTGGATGGCAGCCGTGAAAGCCAGATTCGCGAGGAGCAAACCGGCTTCCGCTGAAATCGAGGCTGCATTGACCACATCTTCACATTACGCCAGTATTTGGAACATCGCCATATCTATTGAGACCCATTGTCTTCGTGCTTCTCGACATCAAATGTGGCGTTGATTTGGTGGGTTGATGTGCTCTTTGCGACTGTCTCCTCAGAAATGGTGCGCTCGCTAAATATGCAAATTTTATCGGAGCGCTGTACTCTCATACTTCGGCTTATGACAATCTGTTGCCTCCCTACAATATCTCCAGCGACGCGATACAAAGTCGACCGCTGACGCGTTTAACTTCGCCATTGACACAGTCATGAAAACTGCGTCCGATGGGCACGACCTACAAGGTGTGGGACTGCTTCCAAGTCATTGACTTTTTCACTTGGAGTACGCCTACGATGCAACCCGTAACTATAACAGCTTTAAGGTCACTGCTTGACATCCTCTCTTTATCCACATCCTAGCGGCGCAAACGCACGTCGAGGAAGTCGGTGTGTCGAAATGCGCAACCACCGAAGCCTGGTGCGTGATAAAACGGTGCTGAACGGTTCGCTCGCACTTCCTGCACCAAACACTAGACGCCGAACATGTTCATGGCACACGCAGTGTTCACATCAGAGCTAAGCTGCGAAGGCAGCGATGGTCAAACCTAACTAGCCTTTTTAGGTTTGTTGATCTAGTAGGCCAGGTTTCACAACCGCACAGGAGGATTGGACAGACGGTTGAGTCATAAACTCAGCTCTTCAGGGCCAGAGTGACGTCACGCCAGTACAACAGGCTCCGGAAATTGGCAAAAGCGTCTCAGGCTTTTGCTTTGCCTTTTGCGATCTCATCTATTCCACAGTCGCTAATATAGCTGCCTAAATACTAGAATTTCCTAACGACTTCCTAGTGATCACCCCCCCCCCCCAAGAGTCAGCGCATGAGTAGGTCCCTGCCAATCTTGGAGGACTTAGGGTTTCGAGGGTGCAAGGCATAGCACAAAACGACTGTCAGCAGTGCTAATTTGTCCAGTAACTAGAAAATGAAGCACGGCTGAATAGGCAAGATCATAGCAATAACCACGACGGATTGGCAAAGGTACAATAATGTTGCAAGTTTAACTATAGCTTATTGGATCCTAGGGTGTACATTTGTATGTAGCTTGGGCTAAATCAACTTACATTTAACCTAGGTCTTTTGAAGCTGTATAAATTTCATTCCCCTTTATCTGCTTTGCTTTGCCTATCTGACTAATCTATTAACTTGCACACGGTGCTTACGCTATTTGGGGTTGTCTTCGTTAACTTTATTGTGTTTGTAGCATTATTTGAATAACTTGTGTATGTTTTGCACTTATCGCGGATTCGTTGCCAACCAAATTACTTCGTATGCTACTTTAGCGAAGGTTTATGTCGGCATAGACGTATGGTTTAACAGATATATCTTATTTGATAATGTCATTTCAAGTGATTGGCTGTTGTTTGACATCCCCGGTGTGGCTACGTTTGACGTGCATGTTGACAAGGTGTCCACCTGTCTATTAGCCACCACCTCGTCTACACTAGCTCCAACACAGTTGGTCGTTGCAGGAGGGGACGCGATGCACGGTCCTTGTGGCCGCGCTAGGCTCAAAGAGCGGTTCCATGCACTCAGTGTGGAGCGAACTAAGGTCCCAAATACAACGTGCTTATGTTTGCCTGTGAATGAGTGTGGGCCGGCTCCGTTGATGAAAAGTGGCTACCATCCACATGCCTCCCGGTCTTATTCCTTCGAGTTTACGCTGGATTTAGGGAGTGTGGATGGAGCTGCGGGTGGTGCAGCGCAAGCCACCCAAGGTCCCATTGTAGGCGCAGGCGTCCTGTGGCTGTCCACAGTGAGGCAAATCCGAAACCGGATGCCGCCAACCAAATACGGTGCACCGGCATACTGCTGGTGCGTTTTGAACCATCCGGAAACGTGTACCCACCGTATGCCTTGTATCCTAAAAATCTATAGTCTGTTGGACGAGTTGCCATCACGGCAATTTGGTTATTGATTTGGTCGGCTGCATCAGCGTCATCATTCCGCACGTTAGATAGAGATGCTAAATACCTCGGCATTTGTGCTGCCGCTGATCACATACATTTGACGCTACGAAACATACGGACTTTTCTATTGGAACACGCTAGCAATCTGTGCTGTCACTATTCTCAGAGTAAGGTTTTCCGTTTATAAGAACACAGCGGAAAACTTAAACATGGTGCACGCTGCGCTGCCGCTGTCCAGTCTTAAGGCGCTGTTGACAATTTCCTTAGAGACATATATGGTCTTACTTTTCCATATTGTTACGAACGATTGTCTACTGGCCCTATATTTTTCTGTAATATCATTATCCCTGATTGGGACTCAACTTTTATACTCCGATGTATTCCACGGAGAAGCCTGACCTTTCTTCTAAGGTCTATTACTTTTTGTTCATATGTCACTTTTGTAACATTTCAGTAACGCTTATTCTAAATGGATCAGTCGGTCTCTGCAGTGCAGCAGGAATACCAGTATTTTATGTCACAGACCAACGATGTCTGGGACCCAGACAACAAATCCCAGACGGAAGCGGTCGGTGAGGTATGCTTGCTGAGGATTACGAAAGATCTGCGCGCAATATGTAGGTAAGTAAACTTTCATTCTCTCGATTGCAACTGATCGTTTTGCTTAGTGATCCGGCTCCCGGAATTTGTGTCATCCCGGACAACGAAGACCTGACAAAGGTCTATGCTTTGATTACGGGCCCATTTGATACACCATACGAAGGCGGATTCTTCCTTTTCCTCGTTCGTTTTCCTCCGGACTATCCGTTAAAGCCCCCGAAAGTGAAGCTAATGACAACTGGAAATGGTACGGTCCGCTTCAATCCCAACCTTTATAAAAACGGGAAGGTAAGCTCTCATCGCTTTCGCTGTTTGCTCACTTTTAAACAATTACTTGCGTGACTTGGTTTTTTTATCAGAGCACAGTGTGAATCCCGTTAACTTTGCAATTCTATTCTGAGTCGGGCGAAAGAAACTTGGACTTTCTTGTACAGCTTGCAATTAATGACACTTGTTATAGCGTTACCGACTGTCAAGTCATTGACGATTTATGATCCCAAACTGTATCGGGCCCTGTCGGTTTCTTCCGTGTCGTACTATCTTGACCCTTCTCCATCCTATTTGGTGTCATTAACGCTCCAGATACTCGCCCACATACCGACCGGATTCAACATCTGTTGTCCGAATTCAGGACGTCTTGAGACACGGATTACGCCCATGATTGCTCGAATCAAAGGCAGTGCAATTAGAGCAAAAAACGGAACCGAATCTTTTTCATTTTTCACACACCACTTTCGTCATTGTCAATGTCTGAAGTTTTAGACATGTGAATCAAGACAATGTCGCACACAGTTCTTCTATTGATTCCGTTGCCTTGGATAACGGCACTTGTTACCGGGCTGCGACAGGATATATTGGTTTTCACTCCTGACTGCTCGAGTCCTGTCATTAAGATAGTATGGAAACCAACCAGCAACTTTCTCTCCACATCACTAAAGCCCGATAAGCATTTGTGTCAGTCTGAGACATTTGAGGCACGACAAAAGGTCTCCATCTCGGTAAGGAGTCGAGTGTTGTATGGGAGCGAGTCTTAGCCAATGCGCGTGGAGAACATGCGCCGTTTTTCTACCTTCAACAACGATTGTTTGAAGAGAATTGCTCATATGTAATGGCAATATCAAATTCATGCTTACGACATTAGACGTCGCGTCCTGTGGAATGCGAGTATCCCCGTTGGCAAGGTAATTTCCATGCTCTAATTCTGATGGCGCAGTCATCCCACGAATGCGCGTGATCTTGCCACATCGCGCCCTATTCGCTGTTGTAGGACCGAGATGGACGCGTCCACGTGATTGTCAGCCTTCCACTTGACGACTACACGTTAAATCGCTTACGTCATCTACAGCCGCTGTTATACCCGTGCGTCTTTTTTGCTGATGACCCAGGAATGAGGATTGCTGATGGCTTGACGCGCTTAAAAATATGGCCCGCAACCGGAATCAGCGGAAGAACTGTGTGCAAAATCGTATTGATTCACACGTTTAATGCCTTAAATAAAAAACGGCACATCAAAAACAAAAGAATGTTTTACTTTTTCTAAACTTATGCTTTCCCTGGATTCCCATGGTCTCTTTCGATGGGTTCATGTTTCTTAGACTGTTGATTACATATGCATTTTCAGGATTGAGGCTGGCGAATCATATGATGTGCTTTACCGTTTACACCGGACTAAACTCGACCGACTGTCTATCGGACTTGCGCTTGATACAAAATTTCCCGTATAGTATGCAGTGCTTGGCTGCGCCTGTCGCGAATGTTGACAAGATGTCTACCTGTCTAACACTCTCTACCTCGTTTACTGGCTCCAGGAGACTGTGAATCGTTGCTGGATAAAACTGCGTGCACAGTCTGCGTGGTGGTGCTATGCTCGAAGAGTGCTTCCATGCATTCAGTGTGGAGCGCACTACGGCCCGGTCGCCGCCTTGTGTACGTCTGGTACGCATGATTCCCAAAATCGTTAGACAGGAATGCTGCTGTTGTACATGTTGAAGAAGTGTGGGCCGGCTACGTTGATAAAACGTGGGTCCCATCCACATGCTTATCAATCTTATTCTTTCGAGTTTAGACTAAATATTGGGTGTGTGGTTGGAGCTGCGGGTGGTGCAGCGCAAGTTGCCCCTGGTCCCTCTGTAGGCGCAGACGTCCAGTGGCTGTCCTATGGTGGGCGCAGTGACAGGCAAGTCCGGAAACGGATACGGCCAACCATGTTTCCAATAATTAGTACTCAACTGTTTTCAGTTATACTGCGACCTATTTGTTGTCTGCTCAACGGGGCTCACCCCGCTGCTCAAAGACACTAGCGTGTCTGATACCGTAGAATGAACCTCTATTTCGTAGTTTGTAACCTAATAGCGGTGGTCTACTGCTAGCACCCATGCTCAGTAGCCTAAATGGCTACTTACATGAATGAGAATCGTAGGTTTCTACTCTGTTCCCTTTTGGAAACTGTTCTATTGGCCACCTATCGCTAGACATCTGCGTATTCAGATGGTGCGTGCTGAACCATGGCCGTTCATTCTAATCACTCTATACGAGGTTGATGTTCGAAACATTTTCGTAGACCTCAATGATTTGATACACGGCCACCTCTGCGAGGCGTTGGCCCACTTATTGAGACAGGAGGAGACTGTCCCAACCAAATGGTGAAAATGAATCAGCCACTACGTACTTGGCCCCAGTCGGTGCCTCCCGACTCTCGCGTTGTAGCCCGTCGTGACCAGACGACTAATGAGACAGAGTTCCCAACAAACAACTCAATGACATCGGATTCAGGGCTTGTTACCCCTGTCTGATGAGGTCAAATAAAGTAGAAACATGTTTTGAAGTGCACTGTTTTCAAACCGGCAACACCCAATTTCCTTCCGCTTCAGCTACGGTCCTAGTGATCGAATTGGACCAAGGTTCACTTCAATGGGAATCGCTCTCAACATTGAAATTGCGTGTCACCATCTGCTCACACAACCAGTAGTTCAAAATGACCCTCCAGGGAATATTGTTTGATGCACTTGTTGACATGGCGAAGAGTCGACTTCAGTGGCTTTTGCGTTGTTAGTCTTTCTACCCCTACCACTCCAACTACCATCTCACCATCGATTCATAATAAAAACAAAACATAATGTTATTTGTATATTTAGTAATCTTGCTTTTGTCCCTTTCTTACGACTGGGTAGCTGTATTTTATTTCGTCACAGTAGCTAAGACGTCTCACTTCCGGCTAAGGCGTACGATGAGAATGATGATCATGATGACAGGTGTATTAGCCTGACGCCAGTAGTGGCCAAGTTACTGGCTTCAGTTCTCATCCATCCGTTGACTATTAGATCGGGGTCCGGATTAGGGAAAATCAGGCCGGTTTTCGCCCTGGACGACATCGTGTGAACTCCCTTATGTCAACGACCACTGCACCCCAATGTATTTCCGAACGTTTACGCTCGATTTTTTTTCAAATTTTACACTGGTGTAATTTATCAAAGTATTCATCTTGGCAGACGTTCGGTAGATGACCTAGATATATTTTAATTTCATCATATTCACCCCAACCATCCTACGGGATGTGTCAAGCACTTGCTTTTATCCCGCGATAACTCATTGTTCATATTTTACCTTGCGGAAAGTGTTAGAACAGTTGTCTTCCTGGACTTCAGGTGTGCGTTCGACCCAGTCGATCGATTCGTCTTGTTTGACCTTTCACGAAAAGGTGTTTTTGTGAAATTCTGCTTACACCTTACTGAACCATCACAGGTCGCATCAAAGTCTACGTTGAGTAGTCAGACTGCTTTCAGACAAATGGCGTTCTTCAGGGTCATCCCACTACTCCATCTTTCACACAACTTAGTCGTGGATCAGAAGTCCGTGTAACCGAACATATCTTCTCGATAATTCCTCACCAGACTTCTACAGTTCTATACAAATAAAAACAAAATGGGTAGACAGACATTACCAGTCCTTAGTCCAGGAGCTAGTTAACTACTGACAGTGGATTTGACATTGGCTGTCCATTAGGTTACGACAATTGACCTCGCGGGTCAGAGCTCTTGGATTTCATTATGGTGTGTTCCCTTGCGAAATCTAACAATTAAGGCATTGAGATGTTGCCTAGTACAGAACAAGATGATCTTGATCACGCAGTGGCGATATTACCTCTGTTTGGCAATCCTTGGGTGGCCCAGTAAGCTCTGGATAAACTCTCTTGCGTTGCTACAGGAACCACAGCCACCTGATGATCCCCTAGTTCTTTACTACGAGAAACTCGAGGTAGTTAATCCATTTATCCACCTTAGCAGCTGTATTAGTAGCGAAGAGCGCGTCTGTCATTGATGCGATCTTATGTAACGAACCCATAAACTGGCACTAAACAAGTACAGTGCACACGAGATATTCGATTTTGTGCAGTCACACTTTTCACAGCTTTCGACTTGTAACTACAATTCCGTGGTTCTAAACAGCCGCGGATTTATTTGTTTTGCTACTGCAAAACGTCTCACGTCTCTTGATCTTTCACAGTTCGGGTTCATGTGTTCCCACTATCCACTAAACATTCAACGTATATGGTACATCTGTGTGGAGCCTCATCCCTAGTTCTTCCACACAACGCACATTAACCAATTCGGACTGTGGTTCCGCCCGGTCTGTCAAATCCTGTATACAGATCGTCACCTCCGTACTCTGTCGCGACATTGTCCTATCATTGGCAATTTTCCGTAAACCCCATCCTTGGGCCATACATACAAATTGTCGCAAACCAACGTGACTAGTTCAAGTATCGCGAAAACCTTCTTGAGTCTGCGGCATGTGTGATGTCTAAAGGAGTATTCTCGCAACCCTTGTCTACTGGCTTATTCCAGGCCCTGTTGCTGGCCTATCTACCCTTTGACACATGATAGCGAGTTAGTAGGTGCCATTGAATAGTTCAGTTATCTTGATATCTGCATTAACAACGATGAGCGTGCGGTCAGTGCAAAAATTAGTGCAGTCTTTGCGAATATGCCAAACCTTTGTTGTCAGAAGAGGGTTCCTCCAACAGGCCATGATAGCGACCATAGTCTTCTGTGGTATCACCCACAACACCAGTGTCTCCGTCCCACAACCACAATTCAGACGATTTAACAAGCAGCGAATAAGTACAGGGGGTGGAGGAGGCCTGATCCCGGCTATGCTTCTATGTCCTAAGCATACACCCATGGTGAATATGCCTACGCCTTGCCAGCAACGTGTGGTCGCAAGCACTTGGTTCATGTGTAAGATGGAATCGGAAAAATAGCCTTCACTGCACTCCGCATTATTCAGTTGCCTCACAGACAATTCAACGCCATACACAGTCCGGCAAGGAGACTACAGCTAGCTGGATCTTGTCGCATGTCACATTCTGTAAGATCCCGAGTAATTTTTGTGATCCCTGTCTGCGAGACGGTCCATCAGCTTAGTTTGGGTCAGAGATTACTCACATCTTAAGATGCCCTAGATCCATCAGACATGATAAAAATTTCTCGCCAAGTGATGACCACACCTATATGGGAAGTGCCCAAGACAACACAACTTGTCCGGTGCTACTTTTTGGTCGAAAGAAAAAGAATAGGGACATCAACAGTACGCTGTGCCGACGCTTCGCTACCACGCAGTCACTACCCGTTACTCATGGGCTAAGAATACTGCGAGAGTCGCCCGGTATCCTACGCAGGTTCGAACTGATGACATGCAGTTTGCAAGGCAGTCCTTTCTGTCACCGACAGGCCGTGCACTTTCCCACACATTCCGTCGTTGAGGACGAATAGTTCTCTATAGGTAGCGCGGTAGAAAATCTGAAATCAGGCCGGATTCTCGTAATCTTTTATTGAATGAGAACGACATGCCAACACAAAATACTGATGTACTGCTATTATTGATGAGGCTTGTGTCTAGAATATTGCTTCAGACGTTCAAGACATGAACATCATCATGTTCATCAAAAGTCCGGTGTCACTGCTTCGGTGAGTGGTATTTTCTTATGAATAATAGTTATGTTAGGCACACAAAGCTTTACTTGACTCTTGTTTAGAGTACCATCCATGACGATTTGTAGGTTCATTGATGCTTAATCAAGATTGACCTTCTCCGCCCACGTCCAGTAGGCAACGCGTTTCGCCTACTTACCTATTCGGAATGCCTGGCCAGATGGAGCACAAATACTGCTGTCGATTACATAGAATAATTTGCGAAAACGCTCACAGGATGTACAATTTACATTGATACACATCATCATTGTTGATGAGGATCGACCGTTTCAGTGGTACAATCTCTGACACGGCCCAGAGAATTCCGAGACCGCCCTTGCGTCGTGGTGCGCGTTGCCCATAAGCCTTGTGATCCACCTATCTAGTAGAGCCAGCTGGTTGTCGGTTTGAGTCTGCCTAGGTACTGATTATCTCACAGTATCCCAAACGCACGTGCTACTGCTGGTCGATCCGTGACACCGACGCGCTACAGTTGCCCTTTCACAGCTCCAGGGACCTGGACACGGATTAACCATTATACCCCATGCAATCCGTGAAATTCAATCCCGATATCAAGTGATCTTGATAAGTATGTACTTTTTATGTCATTCACTGCAATTGCGATGATTTAATATGGGTTTCTTTCCGCTTTCAATTCATCTTACTACCTCCCGTTGCCTACATAGGTCTGTCTAAGCATCCTCGGCACTTGGACTGGTCCCGAATGGACTCCAGCGCAGAGTTTGTGGTCTGTACTGATCTCAATCCAATCGCTAATGAATGATCAGCCCTATCACAACGAACCGGGATTTCGATACGAGCACAGTCCCGGAGACGCGAAACGTTACAATGCCATAATCATGCACGAGACAATTCGCTGTGCAGTGTGTGATGTTCTTGATGGTCTCTCTTGGTGCCCGCCTGATTTGTTATCCGTCGTGCAGTGTAGCTTCGATGATTACTACGATCATTATATCGACGTGTGTCAGAAAAATGCTCATCTTACCGGGCAAGAAATGAATGATCCGTTTGGTGATCGCCGAGGTGTTTTTGATTTTGCCAAGCTTACCGATCGCATAAACGCAATTCGGGTCAGACTGCACGCAAATACTCCAACCAGTTACATAGACGGATAAACGAGAATGCCACCAGAGTTTCAAGTTTGTCCCCTATTTCCCGACATCAATTTCGCCACATGCTTGTGTGGAAAACCTACCCCGGTTGTCGTGTGTGATGCTCACTTATATTATTTCGCGACAGGCCTGTGCTTCTTAGCTGAATGCACCGATTATTTGACTTGTCATTTTCCTTTTTCACCTCTTTTTGTGTGTATATATATATCACGCATTTCATACTCCCCCTTCCTGAATCTCTCTAAATAGCTCCTTTGCGTTATCAAATTGTGACTTTGACTACTCCCGCACATTGGATCTGACAGCCTGCAGTAACTGAGCAGGTATCCATTTGATGGACACCGACGCTATATATATATATATATATATATATATATATATATATATATGTATACAGACGATTGACTACGGTAGCTTTTTGACTTGAAATGAACAATGATATATTACAGGTAAAAAAAGTGATTGCTTTACAAGTCCCGTAAGATGGTTGAAGTGAAAGTAAACATAAGTGTACATCGTCAATTTAAGCGTCTAGTGAATTCAAGTGCCCCTTATTCATATAAACAAGTTAGAATGTGTACTGAATTGTTACTGTAGAGTAATAAGAACAAAAGAAACGACAACGCTTACTCGTGCGCCGCTTTCTTGGACTGAGATAATTAACGGATGTAGTTGTAATATATCCGAAACTATATTCCACAACAGCAGTGTGTAAGTAGTGAAGCACAAAAGCTGCGAATGAGTACCCTTTGGTCGCGTTTGGTTGACGTAAACATCACTGATTATATAGCGTAATGTAACTAGATGAGCGAATCATCCAGACATCTTTTGAATACCGCTAGCGTCGGGGAAGAAACAACGTATGTGGGAAGAGCGTTCCAGTGTTGGCACACACGAAAGGAAAAGAAATTTCGGCGGCATTCCAACCGGCTGTATTGTGTGTCCAGCTTTAGATGGTATCCTCTGAGTGTGGTATTGCTATTCAGCTTTAGTAGGTGACGACAAGAATGGTTTGGATTCCTTAGGATCATATAAGTCATTATCAAGTCGCCACTCAGGCGTCGATATTGTCCACTGTAGACCCCGAGGGTTTTCAGCCTCAATCGGTAAAGGAGATGAAACAGGCCCTGTACGTTCTTGGTCGCCCTTCTTTGTGGCCGTTCAAGAGCGGTAAGGTCTTGGTTTTGCCATGGCTGCCAAGCGTGGATAGCGTACTCAGAATGAGGCCGAATGTAGGCGTTGAGCATCGGAGAAAAGATGGAAGGATCGAAGCGCCTGTTGACCGCACCAACTTGTGGCATTGCCTATCCATGAAGGCCGTGTCGCATAAATTCCTTTCGGCAAAAGGTCTACGAAGAGCTGTCTCCTGAATTCCACACGACAAGTGTAGCTCGTCATGGTTGCCCTGCACCTCGTTTTCTCATCAACTTTGTGATCTAAGTGCTCATGAGTGACTCCGTTCTTTCAGACTACTGGGGGCGGAATTTCCGCTACATAACCGACTGACAAACCTTGTATGCGGACGATATATATCTCCTTGGGTCTGCGCATTGGCTATGCACTTTTGGATGAAATGGCACATAGCGCTACGCTATATAGCGCTATAACGCTGCCATGTGCTTTGCACCTTCAAAATGCAAAGTTCTGTTGTAGGACTGGACCGACACCTCCGATTTTAGCTATCACCGAACAGTCACTTAAAGAAGTGGATCGGTTCACTTGCCTTATTAGCTGTAGTCTCACATCATTGAGTGGGCTACTTCGTGTACTGACGGCCCGTGTGGGTTTCCGTAGGTTCAGTTATCTATGGAGACTGCGGGGTATCAGGGTGTCAATGGAATGCATGATGTAAAACGGTGTGATGAGGCCGGTGTTACTTTGTGAATCAGAGACCTGGCTAGTCCGCAGCAAAGACAATGAACAGTTAGTCGTGTTTTATCATCGATGTTTGTGGAGTATTGCTCACGTCTGAGGGGAATACCTGGTGAACAATGTTGAGATCCACCAGTTAGTTTATGGCAAGAAGCCTTCTGGAGTGTTTGTTGGATCTTAACCGCTTACGTTGTCTAAATCTTATCCTCCCTATACCCGTCGACGGCCTTCCTCGGCGTGCATCATGCGCCGTGACCTGCACCAAGCTGGGAGACATCGCGAGATGGCCACTCTACGATGAGGCATAGTGTTAATGGGACGGAACCAGCCAATGAGAGCGTTTTACGCTGAGGGCTATTGATTTGGCCATAAATTGAATGTACCGTTAGTTGGACGTTAAGAAAAATATACGTGCCAGCCGTACGCCGGTCTCCTGCTTTGGGAAGTCGGGCTGATCAGAGTGCACGCTAGCAGCAGGTCATCGGTAGGTCAGCCGAAACCATAACATATATTTTTGGCGACGGAAGGTAGTGGATCAAGATGTCATTTTCAGCGGAAGACCTGAAAATCATTTGCACGTATCATGTCAAACGTCACGGGAAGCTTCCTAAAATTCTCCATCAAGACCTGGTTGACCTCTGATTCAAGGGAGATTGCTGCAATTATAGATTCTTCCTGCTGATGCTGTTGTAGCTTCAATAACCGGGAAAGTGCGTCTGCTTGACCTATGTCCTTTGTAGCCGTGTACTTCACCGCAAAATCATAGGCGAGTAAGGCCGTGGCCCAACGCTGCAGTCTGTTCGCGGTATAAACGGGTATACCGGACTTTGATCCAAATATGGCTAGGAGTGGTTTATGGTCGATAAGCAGGGTAAACCTCCTGCCATACAACATTTTGTGAAATTTTTTTATTGCAAAGACTATCGCTAATGCCTCTTTCTCTATCTGCCCGTAATTCTTTTCGGCTGGCGACAGTGATCGAGCTGCGTGTGCGATCGCTTTTTCCGATCCGTCAGCAAACTTATGAGAGATAACTGCACCCACGCCATACTTCGAAGCGTCTGCCGCCACCACGATTTCAAGTGTAGGGTCGTAATGTGTCAGCAAAAGGTCAGAACACAGCATTCGCTTCACCTCCTCAAAGGACTTCTGACAATCTTCGGACCAGTGCCAACGTTTGTCCGTGGTGAGTAACTCATTGAGTGGTCCACGCACGCTGTGTATATGTGGCAGAAATTGACTGTAATGACTGACGAGTCCTAAGAAGGACCTCAGAGTAGGCACATCTTTGGGAGGTGGCATCTATTTTATAGCATCAATGTTTGACGGATCTGGACGTCTACCGTTCTTGTCAATTATGAAGCCAAGGTTCAAGTAAGCAGGTTTACCCTGCTTACCGACCATAAACCACTCCTAGCCATATTTGGATCAAAGTCCGGTATACCCGTTTATACCGCGAACAGACTGCAGCGTTGGGCCACGGCCTTACTCGCCTATGATTTTGCGGTGAAGTACACGGCTACAAAGGACATAGGTCAAGCAGACGCACTTTCCCGGTTATTGAAGCTACAACAGCATCAGCAGGAAGAATCTATAATTGCAGCAATCTCCCTTGAATCAGAGGTCAACCAGGTCTTGATGGAGAATTTTAGGAAGCTTCCCGTGACGTTTGACATGGTACGTGACGCAACTGTGCGAGATCCCCTCTTGCGCCAGGTAATCGAATTTCACACTACGCAGTGGCCAAGTGATACTCTATCCGGAGAGCTACAAATTCTCTCTCGGAGAAAGGACGAACTTTCGATCGTAAATGGGTGTTTACTTTTGGCCGAGAGAATTGTCATACCCAAAGAACTTCGCCAAAGAGTCCTTCAGCAATTTCATCGGGCACATCCTGGAATTAACAGAATGAAAAGCATTGCTCGGAGTTTTGTCTACTGGCCAAACATTGATTCGGAACTCGAGCAACTAGTAAAGTCATGTCCCAGATGCGCGCTTGCTAGTAAGGCACCGAGAAAAGCTGACTTAGCTTCCTGGCCGTTGGCAACAAAACCGTGGGAACGCGTGCACGCTGATTTCTTTGGTCCCCTAAACGGTCAGCAGTACCTAATAGTTGTTGATTCCTATAGTAAATGGCCTGAGGTCTTCTGTATGGAGCGTGCGACAAGTGGTGCAACAATTAACATTTTGAGGAGACTTTTCAGTCAACACGGAATACCAGAAACCTTGGTCACTGACAATGGTTCTCAGTTCACTTCTTCCCAATTTGCCGAATACTGCGCACAGCATGGTATCACGCATCTACGGTCGCCACCGTTTCACCCTCAGTCAAATGGACAAGCAGAGCGCTTCGTCGACACGTTTAAGCGATCGCTACTAAAGATGCGGGGGGAAGAAACCACACAGGAGATACTTGATACATTTTTGCTCGTGTACAGATCAACTTCAAATCCCCAAGTACCAAACCAGTTGTCGCCGGCAGAAGCACTAATGGGAAGAAAACTCCGTACTGTGAATTCCCTGCTAACTCCGAGGTGTACTAATGAGCAAGAAAGGAACGTTCGGATGGAGCAGTACTACAACGAGCGACACAGAACTCAAGCACGCCGCTTTTACCCCGGACAGCGTGTCTTAGTAAGAGACTATCGCGCGGGAAACCCGCAATGGGTGGTAGGATCGATACGGAGAAATATTGGACAGGTGCTATATGAGGTTAGTGTGGGTAATTTGATTTGGACCAGGCATTCCAATCAGCTGCGACCAACTAGCATCCCTGCGGGCACAAGCGCTCGGTTACTACCGTTAGATATTCTACTAGAGAGTTTCGACATGCCATCTAATCCCCAAAGCAATTCGGATGCATCCCGCACAGAAGTCTCAGAGGAACCGAAGGTCCAGACCCGGCGCTGTACTGATCGACTACGGAGACCTGTCGTAAGAATGCAGTTGGATCCAAAAATGAAGTCTTATGTCAACTTTTGCGGGGGAAGGTGTTAATGGGACGGAACCAGCCAATGAGAGCGTTTTACGCTGAGGGCTATTGATTTGGCCATAAATTGAATGTACCGTTAGTTGGACGTTAAGAAAAACATACGTGCCAGCCGTACGCCGGTCCCCTGCTTTGGGAAGTCGGGCTGATCAGAGTGCACGCTAGCAGCAGGTCATCGGTAGGTCAGCCGAAACCATAACACATAGAGACATGAAGAAATTGATTGAGAGACTTGATTAGGCTGGTGCGTGCCGTCTTCGTGGATGGGGCCCTCGAGATGGTCCACACCAATGATTAAAGACCCTGTCAGACATGGCACAGTCATTGGCGTTCCTGCATACAGTTTTTTGCATCTGGTCCTTAATTTTCGTTCCATTCTGCCTAGTTTAACGCACTTCCTTTTTG